ATTTTCCTGAAGTCTTGAAACAAGGGAGACAGGGAGGTGTATAGGAAAGCATTAAGGCAAACCGCCCCCCATCTATACCCCCACCAACACACACACCCTAAAATGAAAAACAAAAACAAAAACTAAGCCCAAGCAAAGGTGGAGGAATCCTTAGAAATAAAATGTCTTTTGCCAGGTAAGGTTTGCCTTATTGTTAAGGAAAGAGTATTAATTTCTCATATGTGCCCTTTGGGTTGTCTAGAGTAGAGGTCAACTGTTAAACAGACTTCCTGCATGAATTCAGTTTATTTGTTATCCTAATCCGGAGACCCAGGAGAATAGAAGGGAGTCTCCATGCCCTCCAGGGACTTTTGGCCCTGACATCTTTCTCTGGGGTTATTTTATTCTCCTATAGGGTTCACCACATCCTATAGGATCAGCAGGCACACACCAGGACTGTCTGGGCACACAAGGATGTATGAGCGCCCTGCTGAAGTCCCAGAGCTGTGTTCAGAGATTCTAGGTAGAATTCAGATTTCTGAGGGTAATGTTAAATAACTTATTATGTCCTGAACTTGAATATAGCGTAAGAAGATTTCTATCTACTCTCAGGAAAATCAAAAGAGTCAGGGAGCGTCCATGTGGAGAGTGGTGGTGGGGAACACAGTGCTCCTTCAGTGCCTCATTTTTCACCAGAAATCAGTGGCTCACAACCTTGGTTGTACTTGAGAATCCCTGAGGAGCTTTTAAAAATATACTTGGGAAACTGAGGTGGGAGGATCGTTTGAGCCCAGGAGTTTGAGGCTACAGTGAGCTATGATTATGCCACTGCACTCCAGTCTAGGTGACAGAGTGACACCTTGTCTCTAAGAAATAAAAATAAGAAAAATAACCCAGGCCAAGGCCCAACCTGACCTAATTTTTCTTTAAAAGTTGCTGTTACCAGTTCAAATAGATTTAGAAACTTCAAGGTAAATAAACATCTCCAGATACATTCTGGACTCCCTCCCTGTGATAAACCTAATGAATACAAGAGAGTAAGACAACATCAGGTCCCCAAAGTGGGAGCTGAGTCCCACTCCATGTCTGTTTTGGTCTGGCTGTAACTTGGGGCAGAGAAGCTGCCCTTTGAGAGCAGGAGGGATTTTGCTGCCCCTGGTTAGGTACAAGGGTTGGAAAGTCACTTTCCTGGGGCTCCCCAGGGTGATGTCAAGCCCAAGAAAGTCCCAGGGCTTTCTGCTCTGACATCTTTTTCCGGGGTCACCTTATCGCCTATGGGGCTCACCACATCTTAGACCAGCAGTCAGAACACAATGAAATTCAGCACAGGATTTCTACCTTTCACCATAAAACACAATATGATTCGTCTTATTAAAACACTATATAATTCCAGCTGATAGAGAACAATTGATCCAATTCCAGAAACTATTTTGAAAGAAAATTAAAAAGTGCCTCTTTTCAGTCTTATCATTTTTTTCATTAGGTGGTCACCCCAGCCTTAGATCTGGCTCAGGAATCTTTGTTTTTGGGTGGCTTAGTCACAGCCATGCCCAATAACTCTAGTCTAATGTTAGATTTTTTGATGAAACCTAAAACGAATTCGCTTTATTTTGTGCTGTCTTGTGAAGTCTATTTCACTCTATTTTTGTTGCATTTTATTTATTGTACTTAATTTAAAAATTTCGGAGCCAGAAATCAGAAGTGGCTGTTTACATTGTGATTTATGAAAACCACAGTCAAGGATTAGAAACAGAAATGAGATTGGTTATATCCGTAGTAGTAACATATGCAAAACGGATTCAACTCTCCAATGTAATGTGGGGTTTTTTTTGTTGTTTTTTGATTTTTGAGACAGTCTTGCTCTGTCACCCAGATTGGAGTGCAGTGGTGTGATCACAGCTCAATGCAGCCTTGACCCTCCCAGGCTCAGGCGATCTTCCCATCTCGTCCTCCCAGGTAGCTGGGACTACAGGCACGTACTGCCATGCCTGCTCTGTGTGTGTGTGTGTATATATATACACATATATATATAAACCCCATCTCTACTATATATATATAGTAGAGATGGGGTTTCACCATGTTCTCCAGGCTGGTCTCCTGAGCTCAAGCCATCTACCTGCCTTGGCCTCCTAAAGGGCTGGAATTACCAGCATGAGCCACCCATCATGGCCAAACACAGTGATGTGTTTAATCCTAACTTGCATTCTTAACTTTTGTAATATTTTGTAAACTAGCTCCTGTTCACATTTCCTATCCCAAAAACAAAGGTAGGGGTTTTGGGGTCTCATTATAGAACATTCTGGAATCAGTTTGGTAAACTTTTCATTTAATAGACCACTTCTTATACTCCTACTTGATAAAAACTATACAAACATTTGTCTATTAGCTAGGCAACACATTGTTCTAGAGGTCACTATCTGCTTCAGGCAATCATTCAACTTTGGGCTGAGACGGCAGAGGCTAGAATATTATCACCGACCAAATTGGCTGCAGTGGGACCAAGAGAAGGAGGGAGGCAGGTGAAGCATTCATTTTGGGCCTACTTGAGGAAACTTTTAATTTTGTAAAAATGAAGCTAGGAGTGCCTTCATCTCCGTACTTTTATTCCATTTTATTCCTCCCAATACTGAGTCAAGGGGCAGCCCCTGCCCAGCAACCTGACAGGGAACCACAAGAAGCCTAGAGGTGCAGCCAGCCAAGTGGGCAATGAGGGGAGGAAGAGGAGGAGAGGGAGAAGAAGGAGGGAGAGGAGGCGTATTCTGTCCAATTAGGTCAGTGGGTTGGAGGGTGGTGTCAGTAAGTCAGGTCATGGGTAACTTCTAGCAACCACAGACTGCTGTGTTAATCGCAACTGGTCTTCTCCTAAATGTCAGGCTGCCTATAAGAATTGGAAGGGGAAGGCTCACTCCTGTAATCCCAGCACTTGGGGAGGCCGAGGCAGGTGGTGGATCACCTGAGGTTTAGAGTTTGAGACAAGTCTGGCCAACATGGTGAAACCCCATCTCTACTAAAAATACAAAAATTAACTGGGCGTAGCAGTGGGCACCTGTAATCCCAGCTACTCAGGAGGCGGAGGCAGGAGAATCTCTTAAACCTGGGAGGTGGAGGTTGCAGTAAGCCAAGATCACACCACTGCACTCCATCCTGGGCAACAGAGCAAGACTCTGCCTCAAAAAAACAAAACAAAGCAAAACAAAAAAAGAATTGGAATGGGGCATGTGCTCGGCACCACTTGGTACCAGTCCTAGGAAGTCAGGACACACATACACCAAAAGTAGGTGTCTGGCAACCCTTTCTTAGGTGTTATTTTCTGGAGGGGACAAAAGCTAGGTCTAGGCTGGGCGCGGTGGCTCAAGCCTGTAATCCCAGCACTTTGGGAGGCCGAGACGGGCGGATCACGAGGTCAGGAGATCGAGACCATCCTGGCTAACATGGTGAAACCCCGTCTCTACTAAAAAAAAAAATACAAAAAACTAGCCAGGCGAGGTGGTGGGTGCCTGTAGTCCCAGCTACTCTGGAGGCTGAGGCAGGAGAATGGTGTAAACCCGGGAGGCGGAGCTTGTAGTGAGCTGAGATCCGGCCACTGCACTCCAGCCTGGGCGACAGAGCGAGACTCCGTCTCAAAAAAAAAAGGCTAGGTCTACTTTCAACTGAAGGACAGGACTGATTAGGCATGATTTTTTACACTGGATCCTAACAGTGTAGATTTGTAAATGAGAAAACTGTAACTCCGATTTGAGGAGATTCCTGAGGCTGGAAATGATTTAGACTCATGTGGTCACTGAGAAACACACACCGGGGTAAATGCCAACCAGTGAAGGGCAGCAAGCAGCTTAAGAATGCCAGCATGCTTTGAAAGGAAGCTGACCAACGACAGCTCCCCTGGCTGGCCCGTCAGCATCCCACAGCAGTGACAGGTGCTAACTCTGTCACTGTGCTCCTCATCTGAAGGGCCCACTCGTTCCAAGGATCCTGCATGTAATTTTTGATACAGAATTGGTGTCCAACTGGCAGGGCTGGAAACTTGACTCAGACAGTTTCATACTCACCCAAAAAGATACATGCATGCAGCAACACAGGGAGTTAAAATTAATTCATGGTTATAATCTCTTGCATGTTTATTCTAAATTATACTACACAAAGTGCTTTCTCCTACCCCTAGTACCTGGAAAGAGGAGATAGACTTAAACCTGTTTTAAAACTGGAAAATACCCAGAATGGGTTTTTAAAAGTCAGTTAAGATATGCGAAGGAGACTCTACTAATGTAGGGAATCATTAGATATAAAATCTGTGATCCAGTATCTTGCAGTTTATCGTGTAAATTAACCATGACTTAACCTTTGGTGCCCAGTAACTATGTACAGTGTTTCCCATTGATAAAAGTGGTATAACATCTTTGTTACTATCACAGCGGCAGTGCCTATAGGATTCTCAAACATTTATCCAAAATACTAAATCTAGATGCATGTGTAATATTGACAGGATGCCAAATATACAGCTCCTGGAAAACTAGATAGCTGCAGAATGCTGGCTTGATCAGGGGCCAAGTCAAAGAAATGTCAGTTGGATTATTGCCTTTGAGCTTATTGGGTGGTTACAGATAAAGTTCAAACTACTACTATCAGTCATAATCAAAGAAGGTAAGATTAAATAAGCATAGCCCATGTTTGGTGAGTCAGCAAGTCCACTTTCTCTAGTTAACATCAACATCTGCTATTGGGCTATGCTGACATTCCTTAGTTGACCATTTTTGTCTTTTCCTCAGGGCTATCTGGTTCTTTGAAAGCTCCTTTGCCTAATATAAGTAAGCTGGTGACCATGTTAGCTAATAAGGGTCTCTGACTCATGTAGCCTACACCTAGCATGTGGCAGAAGGAACACTATATTAAAGATCAGATTTTTATAGCAATGGACTTTTTACCAAATAGCAAAAGCAACGCAAAATAGTATTTTATACAGAACAAATCTCATCAGCCCTACCCAACTTCCAATCAAGAAGCATGCTGAAGACTAGCAGTACCTTTGAGACAGACAGTTCCTTGGATTTAGACTCAAACAGGTGCTCCAGTCTGGAAGTGTCCACCTTAATGGGTTCCAGTTTTGACCACAGGAATTCTCTGCAGCGTCGGTTGTTTTTACATGGCCAGTCAAAAGGCCGAACTTCATTCCAGAACAAACGGATGGTCTTCTTTTTCTTAGTGAATGTGGGCTGACCCCTGGGTACCTGGGACCACCCTAAGCCCTGAGGAGCGTTGAACACTGGAGGAGGAGGAGCCAATAAATTACCGGGGACAGGAGGGGGAGGGATGCTGTCCAACAGGGGTGGTGGGGGTGGGGGCGGCAAACCCAGAAAGGTGGGTGGGGGTGGGGGAGGTGGCCCAGGGGCCTCCCTGTGACCTAGGTCCACATCTAGGACGTCAATGTCATCCTCCTCCCCCAGGTCAGTGAAATCCATGTCTTGGATTCTGAGTTCTCTTGGATTGGCCATGAGTTGGTCCCAGATGTAATCAGACTCTGTCTTTGGCTGCACCAGCGCTGTTTCTGGGACCTTGTCATTGGGCTCAGCATCAGGGGAGACAGAACCTCTCCCCAGGTCCCCGCTGTTGAATTTCTCAGCAAATGCTTTCACACTGCCCCGATTGTCCAAACAGCCGACGTCCACCCTCCTGACGCTCTCATCCTGGGTCTGAGAGTTGGCCTGCAGGGTGGATATTCTGGTAGCAAGGCTGGCTACTGCCTCTGCCTCCTGCTGGGTCCTCCCGGCCTCCCCATCCCCCTTCTCCTCATCACCCGGAGTCTTCCTGTTATGGGCATACAGCATGTCAAGCATGAACCGTTTGTTGGTGAGGATGTCGCCACACTGTCCATTTACACCTGCATCCTGGACACCTGCGGGCCACAAACCTGAAAGTACACAGGAGAGAAAAATGAGAAAGGGGCAAAGGGGCCTCGCTTCCATGAGAAAACCAATTAGACAATAAGTGAGCTTGACACATGGGAGTGACTTCAGAGAAGACACTGCACGAACAGTCAAAGCCATGGCCAACAAGATGCTCTTGGGCAAGAAGACATGCTGCTTTACAGTCCCAAAGACCCACACGAGGACCCAAGACTCTTCCAGGCATGATGCTGCTGGCTCCTACCTGGGCTCACGGGAGAAATTTTCCTCCTTTTTCCTACCCACCCAAGGCAACAGGTCAGGACCCACTTAGCCACAGGTAACTAAGGAGCCTCTGCCCTAACTTGAGATAGGGAGGCAAGAAGCCACTCCCTGGCCCCAGCAGGTGTTGGAGAGCCTGGAAGATGACCTCTGCTTCTCTCCCCAACTCCAAATCTACACTAGTGCAGCTCAAAGTGCCTCAAAAACACACAAACTGTGCCACTGGTCACTCTTTAGGTTCATTCCTCATCACGGACCCTAGTCTCCAGGGGACTGAATGCTGCCTGACAATCTCACTTACTCCTCTCCAAGGTGACTTTCCATAGCCCTCTCTTCTCTAACCTCCTGCCCCATCTCTTCCTCAGAGATAACCTTGCCTCCAAGTTCACGGACTTAACAGATGAAACCAGAAGGAATCTTCCAGAGCCTCCCTTCCACCTCTACTCTCCCACTTGCACTGACCCTTAGAACACAGTCTCCCTCCTGCGACTGCCTCATAAACATACCTCTTAGCAGGGGTCGAGTGCCCACTTGTGCATAAGTAATCCATTCCAGAAATTATCTGTCCTGCATTTCCCATGGCCCTCCCACTACAGTCTTCCTTCTGGCACATTAACATACATATATATATATAATTTCCCCCATCTTAAAAAAGCAAAACCACCTTTGGCCCCACTCATCCCTCTAGCTATCACCTAACTTTAACTTTTCTCCTTTCCTCTAAAGTAAAGCTGCTCATAAGAGTTGCTTTGCCCACTGCCCCCAATTTCTTTTTTTCTTTTCTCTTGGACCCAGTCAGAGGGAGCTATTGCTCCCACTACCCTTCTCAGCTGCTGCTTTCAGGTACCAGTGACTTTTGTGTTGCACTAGACACAGTCAACCACTCCATCCCCCCTCACAGGGGTCCCAAGATATGACGTATGACACAGGGCTCCCAGGACATCTGGCTACTCCTTCTCAGTCTCCTTTGCTGGTTCCTCCTTGTCATTGACCTTTAAATGTCCTTGGACCTCTTCTCTCCATCTGCACTCTTTCAGTCTCATCTAGTTTCAAGGCATTAAATGCCATCCATAAAACACCACCTTCTCCACCCATGCAGTCCCCAACCTAAAGTGCTTCTCCTGCAATCCTTTGCTGTCTCAGCTACGGCAACTGCATCCATCTTGCTGCCAATTCCAAAAACCTCAGAGTCATTCTTGACTCCTTTTCTTTCATCCTCCACATCCAGTGTTGCTGGGCATCCTGTTGGCTTCACCTTCATGTCATATCCAGAATCCAGCTGCTTTTCTCAGCACCTCTGCTACCACAACCAAGGGCCAGGCCACCGTGGATTCCTGCCTACAGTACTGCACGGGCATCCCTGCTGGACTCTCTGCTTCTAGTCACGTCCCTTGATAGCCAATTCTTACCCCAACAGCCACATGATGTTTATAAAAATGTCTGATCCTATCTCTCTGCTCGAAGTCTTTTAACAGCACCACCTTTTACTGTGAGAAAAAGCCATGACACAATGTTCACAAGGCCTTCCATGATCCTTCCTTACTTTTCATTCATCGCCCACCACCAACAAGACTCCCCGACCCCCAGACACACACGCCCATAAACCTTGTCAGCTACAGCAACTTCTTCCCATTCCTAGAACTCACCAAGTACGATCTGGCCTCAGGGTGTCAGCCCCTCCTGGGATAAACTACACCTAGTGAATCACACAATTTTTATCCTTGACCTCTTGTCTTTACTCAAACCATATCTTCTCAGTGAAGTCTTCCCTGACCACTTAGTGAAAACTGTGCAATCTTCTCCCAACACTGTTGATCATCCTTTCCCGCTTTATTTTTCATCTCAGCTCTTATGACTATCAAATCTGTCATGTTTTACTTATTTTGTTGTCTGCCTCTGCCCTATCACTGGAATGATTATAATTACTCATTAAATTGCCTTTGTCATGGGATGTAAACTCTATGAGAACAGGATTTGGGTTTGTTTTGTTCACTGTTGTTTCTGCAACATCTGGAATGAATGAATGAATGAATGATCAGGAATGTTATTCCTCTGGGTTTGCCTCTTTGGGGCTTGTATTAGTCCGTTCTCATGCTGCTATAAAGGGCTGCCCAAGACCAGGTAATTTATAAAGAGGTTTAATTGACTCACAGTTCATCATGGCTGGGGAGGCCTTAGGAAACTTATAATCATGGCAGAAGGGGAAGAAAACATGCCCTTCTTCACGTGGTGGCAGGAGAGAGAAAAGTGAGTGCCCAACGAAGGGGGAAGCCCCTTACAAAACCATCAGATCTTGTGAGAATTCACTACCATAAGAACAGAATGGGGGAAACCGCCCCCATGATTCAATTATCTTCACCATGTCCCTCCCATGACACATGGGGAATATGGGAACTATAATTCAAGATGAGTTTTGGGTGAGGACACAGCCAAACCATATCAGGGCTGGCAGGGCCAGGCGGTGAGTGCTTCAGGAGGTGAGTTCCATCAGCTTTCCAGGGCCTCAGTGGATTCTGGTGTTGAGATGTGGCAGGAGACCCAGGCCTGGGAGGTCATTCAGCCAAAGGAGCATCCCCACTCAAACACTCTGAGGGTGGGCCCTGGCTTGAGGAGGCATTGACCAGGGGAGCACAAGGTCCCCCAGGATTTCCAGTGTAGCTTTATTCTCTGTCTTTAATGCAACAATGGCTTAACCTGACCAGGGGACCTTAGGCCATCTCAACACCAGAACAAGGAGCTCTTGAACCCTCTTTTAGGTTTTACAAACAAACTATACTTAGAAAATAATCACCATCAAAAGGAGATGAGATGCCATTTGAGGAGAAGTGTGAAAAATCTGGTTAGCTGGAGTTCCAACAAGTGGTCAGACACTCCTGTGAACAGGGAGACCACTTTGATGCCAGGAGGCTGCAGCAGATAAAGCAGCTGAGCCCTTCTCAAGAGACGGCCTTGCTCTTTCTCCATTTATTGGTAAATGTGAGCATTTTCTTATTTTGGCAACAAGGAAAAGAATTTTTTTTTCTTTGAGACGGAGTCTCACTCTTGCCCAGACTGGAGTGCAGTGGTGTGATCTTGGCTCACTGCAGCCTCCACCTCCAGAGTTCAAGCAATTCTCATGTCTCAGCCTCCCAAGTAGCTGTGACTACAGGTGTGCACCACCACATCCAGATAATTTTTGTATTTTTAGTAGAGATGTGAGTTTCACCATGTTTGCAAGACTGATCTCAAACTCCTGACTTCAAGTGATTCGCCCACCTCGGCCTCCCAGAGTGCTGGGATTACATGTGTAAGCCACTGCACCCAGGCAAACAGGTAATATATTTTAAATGCCAGTTTCCTCACTTATTCTCTTCATTCATGACTCCTTTTATCATTCGTAGTGTCCCTCTTTGTCCTTAGTAATTTCCTTTGCTCTGAGGTCTACTTTATCTGATGTAGTCATCCCTGCTTTTCTCTGATTTAATGTTTGCATAATATATCTTTTCTCAACTTTTTTTCTTTTCTTTTTTCTTCCTTTTGTACCTAGTCCTACAAATTTTTTCCCCAAATTTTAACTTACAATCTACCTGTATCATTATGTTTGAAAAGAGTTTTCTATACATAACATAAAATTGGGTCTTTTTTAAACCCACTCTGCCATCTATCTTTTAATTTAAAGGAATTATTGATATGTTAGAGCTTAAGTCTGCCATTTTATTTGCCATATTTGTTCCATTTGTTTTAGTTCCTGTTTCTCCTTTCTTGGTCTCCTACGGGTTACCTGAATACTTTTACTTTAACAAGTTTTTCAATTGATACATAATAGATATACATATTTTCAGGGTGCATGTGATAATTTAATAAGTTCATATAATTTATAAAGATCAAATCAATGTAATTGGGATATCCATCACCTTAAATAGTCTTTTCTTTTTTTTTTTTTACAACATTTAAAGTATTCTCTTGTAGCTATTTTGAAATATACACAACACATTATTGTAAACCATAATTTCCCTACTGATCCTATAGAACACTAGGTCTTATTTTCTCTATTGGATTGTATACTTGTACCCATTAGTCAACCTTTCTTCATCCCCTTTGAATATTCTTTAGAATTTCATTCTGATTTATTTATAGTGTTTTCAAGTACATTGTTTCATCTGGTTTCTGTAGTGGTTGCTCTAGGTATTACATTATACACACTAACCACAGTAAACTAGTATTGCTGTTTAACCACTTTGAAGTGTGGAAAACTTACTTCCATTTAGATATCTTTAGCTTCCCCACTCTGAAAGTATAGCTGTCCTAAGTATTCCTCTACCTACACAGAGCACTACATCAAATGATGTTATAATTTTTGCTTCAACCATCAAGTATGATTTAAGAACTCATAAGCAGAAAGTATTTATTTATCCGTGTTTTCACCTATTCCTTTCCTTCCTGAAGTTCCAAGACTTCTGTCACCATTTTCTTTCTGTTTGGAGAACCTCCGGTAGTAATTCTTTGAGGGTAGGTCTGTTAGGGACCCACTCTTTTAGTTTTTCTTTATCTGAGAATCTTATTTTCCCTTCATTCTTAAAGGATACATATGTGGGATATAGAATTTATAGTTGATAGTTCTTTTCTTTTAGCACTAGCAAAATATTGTGCCCCTTCCCGCTAGCCTCCATGGTTTCAGATGAGCAATGTGCTGTCATTTGGACTGGTGTTCCCCTATGGGTAAAACGTTTCTTTCTAGCCTCTTAGAAAACTTTGTTTGCTTATTTTTGGTCTTCAGTTTTTGTAAGTTTGACTATCATTTGTCTTGGTATAAATGTCTTTAAATTTGTCTTGTTTGGGGTTTGCTCAGCTTTCTGACAAATTTGAGAAGTTTTAGGCCATTATTTCTTCAAATAATTTTTCAGCATTACACTCTCTTTCCTCCCCAGCTTCCAATGAATTGGTGTTAGATCGAGTCTTATCGTCTCACAGGTCCCTGAGGCTCTGTTCATGTTTTTCAGTCTGTTTTTTTCTGTCATTCAGAGTTCATAATTTCCACTGATTTGTTTTTGAGTTGACTAATCATTTCTTTTGTTGTCTCCAATCTACTATTAAGACCATTCAGTAAGTATTTTATTTTGGTTACTGTGTTTCTCAGGTCCTACAATTGCCCTTTGGTTCTTTTTAATATCTTTTATTTCTTTGCTGAGATATTTTATTTTGTATGTATTCCCTAAGTGTTTGTAACTGCTCACTGAAGCAGTATCATGATGGCTGCTTCAAAATCTCCATCACATAACTCCAATGTCTGGCATTTGTTTATTGCATTTTCCCATTCAAGATGTGATTGCCTTAGCTCTTGAAATGATGAGTGATTTTTCCATTATATCTTGGACATTTTGTGCATTATTAGACTTTGGATTCTATCTAATCTATTAGTAGGTAGTCAGCCTTTTTAGGTATAGCATACAGATGCTGGTGGAGGGAGATGTTCAGCTCCCTGCTGGATCCTGCTGTCACCACCCCAGCAAGAGTGCTGACTCACACAGGCTCACTGCAGATGAGGAGGGTAGAAGGTCAGTGCCCCCTCCCTTGGCCCCACTGGCACCTTCCCAGGGAAATTAAATCACTGACTCACATTGCCTTATCGCCTCCAAATGAAGCCGGAGGTTCAGCTCCCTATCAGTCTCCATTGACTCTGGGTCAGGTCTAGTGCCTGTCTAGGGTACAACAAGTATTAATAAGTAAAAAGCCTGTGTTCTGTTCTGTTAGGCAATCCTTTTCCCAGTCCTTTGGCTAGGGAAATAAGCTTTACTTGGAACTTCACTGTCATGTAATTCAAGTCCAGAGCTTCCTAGGCTGTCTGCATTCTTCTTTCCACATTTCACAGTCCTCCTCTGATGGATTGTTCTGGTATTCTCAGTGTTGCTATGTTGGTTGTAAGAGGGGAGAACCCAGGAGCAATGAAGCTTCCCCATCTTAGCCAGACTCCTCTTCATTTATTCATCGATTGTTTTGTGAGACCCTGCTAGGAAGTGAGGATTCACAATGAATAGACAGACATCCCCATCCTCACAAAGCTGACATTCAAGTGGAGACAAAGGACAATTATACAAGTAATTATAAAAAAGCATAATTCATGCTATGATAAAGCTTCTCACATGCACACCCTAGAGTAAAACACATGAAACAAAGAAAAATTGAACCATATAACTGGAATGAGACTTTTTTAAGTCCTACAAATTCATTTTTGACGTAGTCATTAGAAATACATTTGGGAATCATTTTAATTATCTCTAAGGTTGCTCTGTGATTTGACAGCACTCTGAAAAGCAAGAGCTATAATGACATAGCTGCCCTGACTCCACAGCGGCTGATGATGCCTGTGAACAGTGAGATTTTTTAGGATCCAATAAGCTACAGTAAATAAACATGACCAAATCTCTTAACAGCACTGGAGCAAAGCAGAAAAATCATTGCAAAGCCCTAATTCCTGCTTCTAAACACTTGGACACTGCCCACTTTTGGTAGAAAGTCAATGGTTCTTCACTGGGAGTACTTTCCATTTTTGGAAAATTGTCCTTATTTGGAAGAATACTGGACAATTCGACCCAAGAAAGCTCTGTCGCCTGGTATATTTTTACTAATCCAATTTCTTGATATATTTTAGGCCTGCTAAACCCAGTTATGATGAATAATTCTTAAAGCTATTCCTAATAAATAAAACATGATTTAAGACCAATCTGACCAGTAAGACTCAACCTACATCCAGTATTACCACAATAATTACAGTAATATGATTAAGAAGTAGAATTTGGGGGACTAACTGCAATCTGACTTTGAAAGAAACTAAGTAAATATCAGTATATATAATACCTTTTGACACATACGTATTCAACCAAATGAAGACACTGGATTTTCAATGCAATAATTCCTAATATGTAAACTAATAAAGTCTTTTATCTTCTCTTTTTTACTGCATCATAGTGACCAGCAATATAAAGTATAAAATCTAGTAGTATATTCTAACTGGGAAAAATCCAAATAGTAGCTATTTTAGACTATGCCATTGATTGACAAGTCTATTGGAAGACATTCTGGTTTCATTCATTCATTCATCCATGCTTCTGAGACAATGTATTTTTAATCTGGGAATTAATAAGCCATTCATGGGTCATAGTACTGGCTGGCAGGCCTTGGTAGAGGCGTCATATTGTCCTTTGGGCCTAAGACATTGACTTGAGTGGGTACCACTCATATGCAGCTTAATGAAGGCTGGTCCATTAGACCTGACTCCACTGGTTAGGAGTGTTTGTTGAAAAGGAGGCATTCTACCACCGTGATGGCACGTAAGTCATGGGTAGGAAAGTAACCCTGTGGTGTCACAGATCATATGAATTATTTATAATTCCTATAACCCTCTCTGGCACCCTCCTCAAGTCCTTGGTGAGGTTCTTTCAGGCTAAACCAAACCTATAATCTAACATTCCATTTGGTCCCTAATTCTAAAGTTACCATTCACAGGAGAACTGAATGAGTATTAAGTGTAACACCGAAAAGATACACTTCCATAAGCAAAAGCTTGTTCTTTATACAAAGAAAAGAATGGTTATGAATATAATGTAGAAGACAAATTATCTATATTCCAGTACATCAAATTGATCTCAGTACACTGCGTACCACAATTTTTTGGAAACACTCATTCAATCCATTTAAACAAATCTTTTCCAGTCTGAAATGTCCAGTCAAAATGATTAACACTCTTCAGTAAACACATTTTTAAAGGAATAGATGACAATGTGACAGTTTCTAAACTTCTATCAAAAATGGAAAAGGCCTTACTATTATCAACCTTACTATTATTCACAATGGAACAGTCAGGGGGAAGTGAGAGGTTTCTCTTCTGGGGCTTATTCCTCAGGAAAGGCCCTCCTTATCGGGGCCCTTTTCCTCAGGTGTGGAAGTAATGAATGTGATGGTGTGGCAGAGGGTTTGGGGGCCATCTTTCTACAGGGCAGAAAGCTGCTGGCTGGCTGCCAGCATGGCCACACTCCTCGTCCCCAGACACTGGGTGACACAGCCGCATGAGTAGGTTGACCCAGGTCACCTCAGAGACCAGCCTGTGGACAGGCTCTTAACGAACCAGCCCCTGCACCCCAGGCCTCCCTGGCACATGCCGACTGAAACAAGGGGCTTCATTTACCGGTTGTCCTGTCCCCGGAGAGCTTGTCCTCCTTCTCCTCCCTCTCCAATGTGCTGCTGGAGGACGAGACGCTGGAGGCAGAGCAGTTGTCCCTCTCGTTCACCCCCTCGTTCTGTCTCTCTTTTTCACTGAGGGAGGCTCTTTCTTCCGGCTCTTGCTCTAGTGCCCGCTCCACTTCGGTCTCTGCACCCTCGTGGGCAGAGGCTATGTCCTGGCCAGCTTCATCAGCAACCTGCCCTGCCCCTGCCTCTGGTTCCGGTTCTGCCTCTGATTCGGGCTCAGGATCCCCGGCACTTGCTGGTGGAGACAACAATGGAGATTATATTGACAACAGGTTTCTTGGAAGGGTGATGTGAGGTGAGAATGGATGTGAGGTTGATTTCTCTGTTGTGGGCAGATGTGCCAAGACAGCCCCTAAGACACCTATCCCCTGGCTATTCAAACACTCACGGAGGCAATGCTGTGAAGGGATTGTGCAGATGACAGGAAAGTCCCAGTCAGTGACCTTACGAAATGGAGAGTAACTAGATGAGCTGGATCCAATCAGGAAAGCCTTTTAAAGGCAGACAGTTTTCCAAATGGCAGCAAAAAAGGAAGTCAGAGATTCGAAGCAGGAGAAGGATCTGCCACGTCACTACTGCTTAACTGACAGGGAATGCAGGTGGCCTCTAGAAGCTGAGAACCACCTCTGGTCAGCAGCCTACCAGAACAGGGACCTCAGTTCTGCGGGCACAAGGACCTGGATGTTGCTATCACCCTCAGCGAGGCTGGAGGTGGACTGTTCCCAGAGTCTCCTAGTAAGAGCTCAGCCAGCCGCAGCCTTAATTTCAGCCTTGTGGCAGTGGACAGCCAAGGTCAAGAGCTCAGTTGAGCTGTGCTGAACTTCTGACAGATGGAAACTGTGAGATAATAAACGAGTGTTGTTTCCAATCGCTATGTCTGTGGAAACTTGTTACACAGCAATACGAAACTAATATATAACCCTATTGCCTGTTTAGGGAAAGAGAAACAAAATCCATGGTGGATCAAGCTGATGAAAATCAGCTAACGTGTTCTGAAATCAGTTGGCGGAACCAGTGAGGTTCATCACCCTTCTCTTGGGTTATGTTTGACCCTAATGTGAAGTTAGTTTGATTTTGAAAGCAGTTTGGAAGAAGTCTATTTGCAAACCTATCAAGGCTGGAGACCTGATGCTGTCACTGAGGTAAGATGATCATGTTCTCACTCACGTGACACTCTAGGGAACAGGGAAATGGCACAATCTGGCTTATGCATTTTTTTTTTTTTTTTTTTTGCTGAGCAAAGCTCTCAGCTATGAGCTGTGGATATGTAGCAAAATGATTGAGAATACACAAAATTCTGAGCCAACTGCCACACATGAAGGCTGGAGGAGGGCGGCTCACTCTTAAAGGAACTGGCCTCAGGCTGAGCAAAGCCACTCCTCTGGAACCCTGGCAACGCACTCTAAGGGCGTGTGCTTGAACCCTAGGTACACACTGCTCAAAGCACCACAGAAATTCTGGCAGGGTCTGCACATGGCAGGGGATGAGAGGGACCTGCCCAGACTCCATGAGAACACGCAGATCAGGGCAGCTCTCTGTGGAGGCATCCTGCTGCACCAGGTAATGGGCACGGCTGGCCATGGGGCACACAGAACCAGCCCCTCAGCAGGCTGGGCACGGGCATTACTAAGGGGGAGGGACATTCAGACCTTACGAGGCATGAGGTCCAGCTAACCCCAGCTTCCCAGCAACTCATTCTTCAGGACCCACAGGGCCATCACCCCCAATCCTTCATCTGCTCTCAGGTTGCCATCCTCTGAGGATGAGTCAGGGAGTTAGCTGGGCAGGGAAGATGCAGTGGAGAGGATGAAATACCACCTTTCCTTATGTTCCTGGGCAACTTCCAAATCCCACTCCTCTGTGGGAATGTCCCTGAGTGCTAGGTAGGAATTTGGGGGTGGAGGAGTAAATTCCTCTCCTCTGATTACAGGTTGTAGTTGTGCATCTTCTACTGGGAACTCCAGCCTGGGGCAGGAACCTGCTTCCCGGGAAGGCTGGAGAACACGGGGAGGGGCGGCAAAGACCCCCCAGCAGCTGAGGGGCTGTCCCTCTTGGGCATCCCAAGAGGGGAAGGCTTTAGGAACTGGAGATCTGAGGGCACAGTGTCCAGACAGAGAGGCATGGGTGGCAGTCACAGAAGGAAACCAGTGGGCACACAGCTGTGAGGCTGCGTGCCTGAGAATGAGAGCGTCATACACGCTTCCTTAAAAGTAAAAACTGTGCTGGGTCATGGGATGGAGTGAACAGCCCTTTTAGAAACATTCCCTTTGGTACTGAAGGAATTTTTATGGTAATTTCTTTTTCATCTGATAATAGAGTATTTAGGAGAGATACAAAACCCCATTAGTTTTACAAGCATGGCAGGAGCACGGCCTCAGAGGCGGCAGCGTCATCATTTGGTTGACAGAAAGCACATGTTTTTGCACACATGGACTTCAAAATAGCCACATCAAAATAAAAATGTGTTTCCAACAGCCCAGCATGTGGCATGGACTGAAGTTTTAATTGGTAAGCATATGGTGAAAACCAGCAAGGGCCCCTCCTGGTGGCTTCATCACAGACAGGGACGTGGGGTCAGTTGGCTGCCATAAGCCTGTGTCTACTCACCACTCCCAGGGGTCTGGGCCAAGTAGGGAGGCTCTGTGATTGACGGCTGTTTGACTTCGGCCTGTGTGTGTGCACTGCTGTGTTCCATTCCACTGAACATGCAGGACCCTACCCAAGCAGCGGCTCTGGCCCTGAGCAGGTGAGCTAACAGACACGCAAGATCTGGAAAAGCCACACTCTTGCGGGGGAGCAGCACAATTTCATTCCAATACACTAGGGCCTAACTTCTTGGAATCACATATTTCAATCTGTGACTTCAACCACTGGGGTGGTTTCTTTTTTTCATGACTGCTGGGGAGGTAGCAATTGGCAAAGTCATCTCCTGCCCAGAATACATGACTCAGTGTCTACAAGGTCTGATCGCAAATCTGAGGCCGTCCTAATGATGAACAAATTAAATAACTGTCACACACATTCAAGTCAAGTAAAACTGCCAGGGTCCACAGCAGAGCCCTTCTCCAGCTGTCTTAATCAAACACAGGAAAGTTGCCTGAGGGCCAAGACCCTGCCTTCCTCTCCTGCTGGAGGGCCCCAGCGTGGTCCTGGGGCCAGCGTCTGCTCACAGCATTCTTGTTGATATTCAGAAAGCACCCAGGATAGCCCTGAGACTCCACACCGAACTCCGGAACATTTCTCCTCCCCTTTCCCATTATCTTTCAGCAGGATTTCCCTCACTCATACTTCCTTCCGTGCACGTGCACACACACACACACCCAGCTCCTTCTGAGTCAGTGTCTCTAAGCCAGGTCTGCTGCCCTCTGGGTGGATGCAGGAAAAAGTCTCATTTATACCCACCAAGTCCCCAGGAAACAGGAGAAGCCAAATAATCCTGTAGGAAAAGTCCTAAAGGGAGCTACGACCTTTGGCAACAACTAGGGAGGAAAGGTGTTTGCTTCCCTCCTAGGAATGTTTACAACTTCTCACTGTTACCAGTCCCAGAATTTAATGAGCCTTTCTCTGGCCCGACAGTGTGGTGTTGGTGGTGAGAGACAGACACAGCGACCCATGAGACTGGCCCAGCTCTGTCACAGAGGCTAGAGAGAAGCAGATTAGAGGGATCCTGAACAACCTGCCGTGACATCCATGTGGCAAAAGTGAGCGAGCTCTGCCACCAGTGGGCACAGGGAAACCCCCACCTCTCAACTATCAGCAGACACAATAACAAAAATACGTTTGTAAGAGTGATGGATGTGTAAGATAAAATGCACGGTGCCCTGGGAACGCATGGCAAGGGTCTTTGGCAAGGCCTGGGACATAAGTCTCTGTGGCAAAATAACGTTTAAGTAGAGTCTCAAGGGATAAAAATGAATTAAAAGAGGGGAAATGCTGAGAGTGTCCTGGGCAGAGGGAAGTGCACATGCAGGGACCCGGAGCCCACTGCGTGCCAGAGGGAATGAAAGCTGTGTGGCCTGGCAGGAGGAGTGACAGGAGGTTTGGGTGGTTGTCAGGGGCCAGGACAACCAGCCCTGTGTATTGATGGAGGGATCTGGGACTTTACCCTAAGGGCAATGATGGCTGTTCTGCGTTTCATTTAGTCTGAGGTGAGCCCTGTCTCCACCTGCATCACAGGCAAGCGAGGCTTCCTGCTGGAAACAGCTTGGGCGTGCCTGCGAGCTGAGGGGTGAGGCCCCTAGTCAGTGTGGAATCAAAAGTCCACGAAGCAAACCCTTAGAGAGAGAGACAGAGGAGGAAGAGGGGAATGGCAATCAGTGGAGCAAGAGAGAAAGAAAATAAAAACACAGCACCACTGGAAGAACACATGGGAAAGGGATTGAGACTGAACAGCAGGAGGTTTTTCCATCCGAGACATCAGCTGGGGGAGGAACTCTGTTCACACAGGAGCAGGGCAGGGAGTTCCGCAGGGCTGCTGGCTCCCTTTGAGGAATGGTTACTGAGCACTTCACAGGAACCGCCTTCCAAAGCCCTCATGACCTTTCTATGGGGAGGGCTCTGGTATTGCCCTCAGAAACCCGAGACCAGGAGAGAACAGTGAAGGCCCGTGCCAGGGTGGTCAGGTGGGAAGGAGCAGAGTGTCCCTTCCCCAGCATGTAATGCCTCTAAGAACTCTGCAGCAGCATCTTCAAGGGAGGCTCAGGAGTGACAGTGATATCCCAAACCCGGCAGGTCAGAAGATGCCAGGGCTTGCCACGCTTTTCCATAACCACCTTGGATGGAGGAGGAATACAAAGATCTGACTGCATCTCCTGGGCTGTGCAAGGCGGGAGGGGAACTGCAGGAAGGACTTCGGTCAGGTGCCCAGGCAATCTTTCTCCTAGCAGTGGACATGCGTTTGGAAATAAAAGGAAGACATAGCAAGGAATGCCTGGTAACATTACAGGCATCCAAAACCAGGATCTGTCTTCCTGGATCACAGCCCGAGAGTGCAGACCGATGGGATCTCAGCATCGCCAGGATGCACTTAGCAAAGACCAGAAAAATGTGTTTGGCCAGAGCCTGTGCTGACCTGGCTCTGAGGGCTTACAGCTAGATTTGAAGGTTGGGGTAGGGGGAATACAAGGCCCAAATAAAAAAATCAACACTAAACTGCATAAAAGGATGAGGTAATGGATACTTTTTGCAAGGAGGAAGAAATAATGGAAAAGAAGGGGTCCAGGGTATCCTCAAAGT